TAGATAGATAGATAGATAGATAGATAGATAGATAGATAGATAGATACGAGAGTCGTTCAAAAAGTTCTTAGCCTCACCCAGAAAAAAAAGCCATAGCTGAACATTTTAGTTGGAGCAACACATTAAAACTTCTTATCAAACTAGAAGAACTAATTCAGGTTTCTGTCTTTATTTCTGTCTTAACAGACAGATAGATAGATAGATAGATAGATAGATAGATAGATAGATAGATAGATAGATAGAGAGTCGTTAAAAAAGTTCTTAGCCTCACCCAGAAAAAAAAAAAAAGCCATAGCTGAACATTTTAGTTGAGCAACACATTAAAACTTCTTATCAAACTAGAAGAACTAATTCAGGTTTCTGTCTTTATTTCTGTCTTAACAGATAGATAGATAGATAGATAGATAGATAGATAGATACGAGAGTCGTTCAAAAAGTTCTTAGCCTCACCCAGAAAAAAAAGCCATAGCTGAACATTTTAGTTGGAGCAACACATTAAAACTTCTTATCAAACTAGAAGAACTAATTCAGGTTTCTGTCTTTATTTCTGTCTTAACAGATAGATAGATAGATAGATAGATAGATAGATAGATAGATAGATAGATAGATAGATAGATACGAGAGTCGTTCAAAAAGTTCTTAGCCTCACCCAGAAAAAAAAGCCATAGCTGAACATTTTAGTTGGAGCAACACATTAAAACTTCTTATCAAACTAGAAGAACTAATTCAGGTTTCTGTCTTTATTTCTGTCTTAACAGATAGATAGATAGATAGATAGATAGATAGATAGATAGATAGATAGAGATAGATAGATAGATCACCCAGAAAAAAAAAAAGCCATAGATGAACATTTTAGTTAGATCAAACTAGAAGAGGTTTCTGTCTTTATTTCTGTCTTAACAGATAGATAGATAGATAGATAGATAGAGAGATACGAGAGTCGTTCAAAAGTTCTTAGCCTCACCCAGAAAAAAGCCATAGCTGAACATTTTAGTTGAGCAACACATTAAAAAAACTAGAAGAACTATAGGTTTCTGAACAGATAGATAGATAGATAGATTTAGATAGATAGATAGATACGAGAGTCGTTCAAAGTTCTTAGCCTCACCCAGAAAAAAAGCCATAGCTGAACATTTTAGTTGGAGCAACACATTAAAACTTCTTATCAAACTAGAAGAACTAATTCAGGTTTCTGTCTTTATTTCTGTCTTAACAGATAGATAGATAGATAGATAGATAGATAGATAGATAGATAGATACGAGAGTCGTTCAAAAAGTTCTTAGCCTCACCCAGAAAAAAAAGCCATAGCTGAACATTTTAGTTGGAGCAACACATTAAAACTTCTTATCAAACTAGAAGAACTAATTCAGGTTTCTGTCTTTATTTCTGTCTTAACAGATAGATAGATAGATAGATAGATAGATAGATAGATAGATAGATAGATACGAGAGTCGTTCAAAAGTTCTTAGCCTCACCCAAAAAAAAAAGCCATAGCTGAACATTTTAGTTGGAGCAACACATTAAAACTTCTTATCAAACTAGAAGAACTAATTCAGGTTTCTGTCTTTATTTCTGTCTTAACAGATAGATAGATAGATAGATAGATAGATAGATAGATAGATAGATAGATAGATACGAAAGAAGAGTCGTTCAAAAGTTCGTTCAGATAGAAAGTTCTTAGCCTCACCCAGAAAAAAAGCCATAGCTGAACATTTTAGTTGGAGCAACACATTAAAACTTCTTATCAAACTAGAAGAACTAATTCAGGTTTCTGTCTTTATTTCTGTCTTTAATAGATAGATAGATAGATAGATAGATAGATAGATAGATACGAAAGTCGTTCAAAAAGTTCTTAGCCTCACCCAGAAAAAAAGCCATAGCTGAACATTTTAGTTGAGCAACACATTAAAACTTCTTATCAAACTAGAAGAACTAATTCAGGTTTCTGTCTTTATTTCTGTATTAATAGATAGATAGATAGATAGATAGATAAAGATTAGATAGTTCTTAGCTCACCCAGAAAAAAAAGCCATAGCTGAACATTTTAGTTGGAGCAACACATTAAAAAATCAAACTAGAAGAACTAATTCAGGTTTCTGTCTTATTTTGTCTTAACAGATACGAGAGTCGTTCAAAAGTTCTTAGCCTCACCCAGAAAAAAAAAAGCCATAGCTGAACATTTTAGTTGGAGCAACACATTAAAACTTTATCAAACTAGAAGAACTAATTCAGGTTTCTGTCTTTATTTCTGTCTTAACAGATAGATAGATAGATAGATAGATAGATAGATAGATAGATAGATACGAAAGTCGTTCAAAAAGTTCTTAGCCTCACCCAGAAAAAAAAGCCATAGCTGAACATTTTAGTTGGAGCAACACATTAAAACTTCTTATCAAACTAGAAGAACTAATTCAGGTTTCTGTCTTTATTTCTGTCTTAACAGATAGATAGATAGATAGATAGATAGATAGATAGATAGATAGATAGATACGAGAGTCGTTCAAAAAGTTCTTAGCCTCACCCAGAAAAAAAAGCCATAGCTGAACATTTTAGTTGGAGCAACACATTAAAACTTCTTATCAAACTAGAAGAACTAATTCAGGTTTCTGTCTTTATTTCTGTCTTAACAGATAGATAGATAGATAGATAGATAGATAGATAGATAGATACGAGAGTCGTTCAAAAAGTTCTTAGCCTCACCCAGAAGAAAAAAAAGCCATAGCTGAACATTTTAGTTGAGCAACACATTAAAACTTCTTATCAAACTAGAAGAACTAATTCAGGTTTCTGTCTTTATTTCTGTCTTAACAGATAGATAGATAGATAGATAGATAGATAGATAGATAGATAGATAGATAGATACGAGAGTCGTTCAAAAGTTCTTAGCCTCACCCAGAAAAAAAAAAAAAGCCATAGCTGAACATTTTAGTTGAGCAACACATTAAAACTTCTTATCAAACTAGAAGAACTAATTCAGGTTTCTGTCTTTATTTCTGTCTTAATAGATAGATAGATAGATAGATAGATAGATAGATAGATAGATAGATAGATACGAGAGTCGTTCAAAAGTTCTTAGCCTCACCCAGAAAAAAAAAGCCATAGCTGAACATTTTAGTTGAGCAACACATTAAAACTTCTTATCAAACTAGAAGAACTAATTCAGGTTTCTGTCTTTATTTCTGTCTTAACAGATAGATAGATAGATAGATAGATAGATAGATAGATAGATAGATAGATAGATACGAAAGTCGTTCAAAAGTTCTTAGCCTCACCCAGAAAAAAAAGCCATAGCTGAACATTTTAGTTGAGCAACACATTAAAACTTCTTATCAAACTAGAAGAACTAATTCAGGTTTCTGTCTTTATTTCTGTCTTAACAGATAGATAGATAGATAGATAGATAGATAGATAGATAGATAGATAGATAGATAGATAGATAGTCGTTCAAAAAGTTCTTAGCCTCACCCAGAAAAAAAAAGCCATAGCTGAACATTTTAGTTGGAGCAACACATTAAAAACTTCTTATCAAACTAGAAGAACTAATTCAGGTTTCTGTCTTTATTTCTGTCTTAACAGATAGATAGATAGATAGATAGATAGATAGATAGATAGATAGATAGATACGAGAGTCGTTCAAAAGTTCTTAGCCTCACCCAGAAAAAAAGCCATAGCTGAACATTTTAGTTGGAGCAACACATTAAAACTTCTTATCAAACTAGAAGAACTAATTCAGGTTTCTGTCTTTATTTCTGTCTTAACAGAGATAGATAGATAGATAGATAGATAGATAGATAGATAGATAGATAGATAGATACGAAAGTCGTTCAAAAAGTTCTTAGCCTCACCCAAAAAAAAAGCCATAGCTGAACATTTTAGTTGGAGCAACACATTAAAACTTCTTATCAAACTAGAAGAACTAATTCAGGTTTCTGTCTTTATTTCTGTCTTAACAGATAGATAGATAGATAGATAGATAGATAGATAGATACGAGAGTCGTTCAAAAGTTCTTAGCCTCACCCAGAAAAAAAAAAAAAAAGCTGAACATAGCAGATAGATAGATAGATAGATAGATGAACATTTTAGTTGGAGCAAAAACCTCACCCAGAAAAAAAGCCATAGCTGAACATTAAAACTTAAAACTTCTTATCAAACTAGAAGAACTAATTCAGGTTTCTGTCTTTATTTCTGTCTTAACAGATAGATAGATAGATAGATAGATAGATAGATAGATAGATAGATAGATACGAAAGTCGTTCAAAAGTTCTTAGCCTCACCCAGAAAAAAAAAGCCATAGCTGAACATTTTAGTTGGAGCAACACATTAAAACTTCTTATCAAACTAGAAGAACTAATTCAGGTTTCTGTCTTTATTTCTGTCTTAACAGATAGATAGATAGATAGATAGATAGATAGATAGATAGATAGATAGAGTTCTTAGATACGAGAGTCGTTATTTTTCTGATAGATAGATAATAGATAGATAGATAGATAGAAAAGATAGATTCGTTAGTTCCTCACCCAGAAAAAAAGCCATAGCTGAACATTTTAGTTGGAGCAACACATTAAAACTTCTTATCAAACTAGAAGAACTAATTCAGGTTTCTGTCTTTATTTCTGTCTTAACAGATAGATAGATAGATAGATAGATAGATAGATAGATAGTAGATGATAGATACGAGAGTCGTTCAAAAGTTCTTAGCCTCACCCAGAAAAAAAAGCCATAGCTGAACATTTTAGTTGAGCAACACATTAAAACTTCTTATCAAACTAGAAGAACTAATTCAGGTTTCTGTCTTTATTTCTGTCTTAACAGATAGATAGATAGATAGATAGATAGATAGATAGATAGATAGATAGATAGATACGAAGAGTCGTTCAAAAAAGTTCTTAGCCTCACCCAGAAAAAAAAGCCATAGCTGAACATTTTAGTTGGAGCAACACATTAAAACTTCTTATCAAACTAGAAGAACTAATTCAGGTTTCTGTCTTTATTTCTGTCTTAACAGATAGATAGATAGATAGATAGATAGATAGATAGATAGATAGATGAGAGTCGTTCAAAAGTTCTTAGCCTCACCCAAAAAAAAAAAGCCATAGCTGAACATTTTAGTTGGAGCAACACATTAAAACTTCTTATCAAACTAGAAGAACTAATTCAGGTTTCTGTCTTTATTTCTGTCTTAACAGATAGATAGATAGATAGATAGATAGATAGATAGATAGATAGATACGAGAGTCGTTCAAAAAGTTCTTAGCCTCACCCAGAAAAAAAAGCCATAGCTGAACATTTTAGTTGGAGCAAACATTAAAACTTATCAAACTAGAAAGAACTAATTCAGGTTTCTGTCTTTATTTCTGTCTTAACAGATAGATAGATAGATAGATGAATAGATAGATGAATGATAGATTCGTTCAAAAAGTTCTTAGCCTCACCCCAGAAAAAAAGCCATAGCTGAACATTTAGTTGGAAAACTAAAACTTCTTATCAAACTAGAAGAACTAATTCAGGTTTCTGTCTTTATTTTGTCTTAACAGATAGATAGATATGAATAGATAGATAGATAGATAGATAGATAGATAGATAGATAGATAGATAGATAGATACGAGAGTCGTTCAAAAGTTCTTAGCCTCACCCAGAAAAAAAAAGCCATAGCTGAACATTTTAGTTGAGCAACACATTAAAACTTCTTATCAAAGTAGAAAGAACTAATTCAGGTTTCTGTCTTTATTTCTGTCTTAACAGATAGATAGATAGATAGATAGATAGATAGATAGATAGATAGATACGAGAGTCGTTCAAAAAGTTCTTAGCCTCACCCAAAAAAAAGCCATAGCTGAACATTTTAGTTGGAGCAACACATTAAAACTTCTTATCAAACTAGAAGAACTAATTCAGGTTTCTGTCTTTATTTCTGTCTTAACAGATAGATAGATAGATAGATAGATAGATAGATAGATAGATAGAGTTCTTAGCCTCACCCAGAAAAAAAAAAAGATAGAACATTTTAGTTGGAGCAACACATTAAAACTTCTTTCAAAAGGTGTCTTTATTTCTGTCTTAACAGATAGATAGATAGATAGATAGATAGATAGAATGAATAGATGAAAAATAAAAAGTCGTTCAAAAAGTTCTTAGCCTCACCCAGAAAAAAAAAAAGCCATAGCTGAACATTTTAGTTGGAGCAACACATTAAAACTTCTTATCAAACTAGAAGAACTAATTCAGGTTTCTGTCTTTATTTCTGTCTTAACAGATAGATAGATAGATAGATAGATAGATAGATAGATAGATAGATAGATAGAGTCGTTCAAAAAGTTCTTAGCCTCACCCAGAAAAAAAAAAGCTGAACGTTCTTATCAAACTAGAAGAACTAATTCAGGTTTCTGTCTTTATTTCTGTCTTAACAGATAGATGAATAGATAGAAAAAGTCGTTCAAAAAGTTCTTAGCCTCACCCAGAAAAAAAAGCCATGCTGAACATTTTAGTTGGAGCAACACATTAAAACTTCTTATCAAACTAGAAGAACTAATTCAGGTTTCTGTCTTTATTTCTGTCTTAACAGATAGATAGATAGATAGATAGATAGATAGATAGAGGAGTCGTTAGTTCTTAGCCTCACCCAGAAAAAAAAAGCCATAGATTTTAGTTGAGAGAGAACTAAGGTTTATTTCTGTCTTAGATAGATAAATAGAGATAGATAGATAGAGATAGATTTCGTTAGATAGATAGATCAAATGAGGAAGACAGATAGATAGATAGATAGATAGATAGATAGATAGATAGATAGATACGAGGGTCGTTGAACAAAACACATTAAAACTTCTTATCAAACTAGAAAAAGAACTAATTCAGGTTTCCAGAAAGAAGATAGATAGATAGATAGATGAATAGATAGATACGAGAGTTTTGTTCTTAGCCTCACTTGAAAAAAAAAAGCCATAGCTGAACATTTTAGTTGGAGCAACACATTAAAACTTCTTATCAAACTAGAAGAACTAATTCAGGTTTCTGTCTTTATTTCTGTCTTAACAGATAGATAGATAGATAGATAGATAGATAGATAGATAGATGATAGATGAGAGAAGTCGTTCAAAAAGTTCTTAGCCTCACCCAGAAAAAAAAAGCCATAGCTGAACATTTTAGAGCAACACATTAAAACTTCTTATCAAACTAAGAAGAACTAATTCAGGTTTCTGTCTTTATTTCTGTCTTAACAGATAGAGATAGATAGATAGATAGATAGATAGATAGATAGATAGATAGATAGATAGATACGTCGGGTCGTTCTTAGCCTCAAAAGAAAAAAAAGCCATAGCTGAACATTTTAGCAACACATTAAAACTTCTTATCAAACTAGAAGAACTAATTCAGGTTTCTGTCTTTATTTCTGTCTTAACAGATAGATAGATAGATAGATAGATAGATGAATAGATAGACGAGATGTTCAAAAAGTTCTTAGCCTCACCCAGAAAAAAAGCCATAGCTGAACATTTTAGT